GCTTCCCCCCCTCCTGCCCCCTCCCCCATCCTGTCACTTTGATGTGGACCATCCAAGAGGAGAGGTGTGACTTTCATCACTCCCCCCTTACCTGTCCCTGAGAAGTCCCCATGTCCCAGGAGGAAGAGGGCAGGGAGTCCACGCCGCGGCAGCCACACTGACGCTGCACGGCCCCTACACACAGCGTGAGCACAGAAGTTTTTCCCGGGGGTTGCACTCCTCAGAGGACAAAGGCCGTGCTCCAGAGAGCATGGCCCATGTCAAGGGGGCGTGCCTCATTGCCGGATGACGAGGCACGTCGCCCCCGGTTGCTAGGGCGACCAGGGACGCTCCACACAGACCTTAAGAAGGCCTGGGAGGAGGGTCTTGGTCCTTCTTCACCGCTGTGCAGCTGCCAGGAAAGTCTGTGCTGAGGCAGGACTCCTGTAGCCCTCTGCAAAAGACCCCAAAGGGTTATTATTGCCGCCCCTGAGCTGGGGGGAATTATTATTAATGCTGCTGCCCTGGGGAGGAGATCGAGGAGATTATTCCCACTACTGACTCTGCAGCAATACCCAACGATTGGGAGGATTATTACTACTGCTGACGCTGATGCTAGGATTGGGAGGATTGTTCCCCACAGAGTACACTGCTGGAACTCAGGAGTGGTACCTGTTGTTAGGACCCTCTGTTGTGTGGTAAGGTGGGTCGCTGCCTGGACTGTCACCTGCTGTGAACCCGGGCATCCCTGCCGGAGCCGTGAGTGTATGCACCCGTTTATTCCCCCTGGACTGTCCTTGAACTCTGCTCCCCTCTGCTCCTTACTTGGATTACAAATTGCTAGAGACTCTAACTTTGCCCCCTTGAGGACGAATTACAATTATTTTGAGCCCTCTCCTTGCTATTCCCCTAGACTGGGTACTGCCACACTACCTGCAGACCCCAATTGAGTGACTGTCAGTTCTTTAATAAAGCTTTGTGTGTTTACCATCTTCTTTGTGTGTTCTGTCCTGCCTACCCCCCGTCAAAGTAGTCAACAAACCGCATTTAGAAATGATCCACAGCAATGTCATACAACAGGAGTAGACAATATGGATAGATGTTACAAAAAACTGTTCCAAATGGAATAATATGTCATGACATAAGATACAAATTACTTAGACACAGTCAGTAAAGAGGTTGAATTCAAAAGTGCCCTTCACCCTCATCAGAGTACATGAACATTTTCCAGTGGAGCCATTTTTTTAGTATCTCTCCTGTCTATTCTGAGCAATCAGAATCAGGTCTTCCGTCCCACTTGATTTGTTTTTGATGCTTCTGTGATGTTGTGGTGATGCTTTGGTAATGCTTTGGTTAAACTTTTTGGAAGCTTTAATGAAACTTGGCAAATGCCCACATTACCCAGTTCAGCAGATCCCCAGCTCATTAATACCTTTGTTCAGCAGATCCCAGTTCATTAATACCTTTGTTCAGCAGATCCCAGTTCATTAATACCTTTGTTCAGCAGATCCCCAGCTCATTAATACTCTTGTTCATCAGATCCCTAGCTCATTGGTACCCTTGTTCAGCAGATCCCCAGCTCATTGGTACCCTTGTTCAGCAGATCCCCAACTTATTAATGCCAATCTGCTGGGCAATCAAACACTTGATGGCATGTACGCCAACAGGCATGATCTGGACAGCACTTGCACATTCACTGGTGTTTTCCCAGGACACAGAGGTGGATGGAGGATCAGCAGAAGAGTCATACTTGTTAACCACATGACAGCCAGTGGCTTCTTAACAACCTGCTTCTCAATGCCTTCGAATTTGTTTGTTTTTTTCCAGATTTGTTCAGATTCGTTACTATGTCTATTTGGAAATTTGGATACATCTGAATCTCCGAAAATGAAATCCAAACCAAATTGCACATGGCTATTGCTGCATTTTTTCACACATAAATGCACTGAAACACACATAAAGGCACATGAACACACAGGAAATGCATGTAAATGCAACTTTGTAAACAAAATCATAAATAATGCCAAAAAAGTGCCACAAACAGATGTAAACTCACATGCAAAACTACACACTGAATGTGGAGATTGTGGGGCGGAGATGCCCATAGGCTAGGTTCACATATTTGCATTGTGGGATTGCGTGCAAATTTGTGTGTTTTCCCACAACGCACAAATATGCAGCCATTTAGGAGAGCTGATTCACACATGTGCGGTGCGGATTGAAGCTCAGGTTTCACAACTAATTGACACAGTAGTTGTTCAGCGGTTCAGGTCAGGTTTACATCAGGTTCAGGACAGGATCAGCTCAGGCTCTTATCTTGTTCACACATATGTGGTTCAGAAACGGTTCGCTTAGAAGTCAATAACCTCTAATCTGCACCTGAACCGGACCGCACTGCTCAGAAATCGGACATGATTCTTTTTAAAACCGCACTGAATCTGCACCGCCAGTGCACTGGACATATGTGAACAGGCACCATAGGAAACAATGGTATTTCACATGTCATACGGATTGGTTCTGCATATTTCGGGTTAAAACCGCATCCAATCCGCATATATGTGAACAGGCACTTACAGATGTAATTCTTAATTGCACCCTCACACATCTTGCAAACACGCGTGTGAAAGAAAGTACCATTCGTTTTAGTGCAACATGATTTTTCAAAAGGGTCGTGCATTTTTCACATGTAAGGTAACCTATTGTGGGATGTGCAAAAACATACGCATGCTCCACCACACCGGCATACGGCTAGATCACACCTAGCATCTTGTGAACATGCATTTTCCTGCTACATGGATAGGGCAGGCCATTCATTTCAATGGGCTGCCCTACACGCAACAAAGAAGCTCATGTACGTTTTTTGGGCGTTGAGCTTGGTGCATTTTTTTATAACTGCGCATTTTACCATGCGTGTCTCACTTGGGGTGACTTTAACAATAAGTCTTGGTTCACATATGTGCTGCTGCGGATCCGCACAAAAATCTGTGCAGCCGCACCACCCGCACAGAGGACTGCAGACCCGTGGGTGGGTTCCATTAGTTGTAATGGCACGCCGCCCGCACTGGAAAACACAACTGTACTGGGATCCTAGGCTCCTGTGCGAGTTGCATTTTTGGAAGAAGTGCAGGGACTTTTCTGCGTGTCACGGGGCACGTGAGTCCATTCAATTAAATGAGCTCTCGTGCCCGCACAAAACGCGGTTCGCACAGCCGCATATGTGTGAACCAGGGCTAAATTGCGCCACATGCGATTTGTGCTAAGTCCGTGAACACACATGAAAACGTGCGTGCTCACTGGATGCTTAGATGTCAATACAGCTTCATAGTTCCATCTGGTTCAGCTTTAACCGCCTCCCGCCCGCCGTATACAGTGGGGCAAAAAAGTATTTAGTCAGCCACCAATTGTGCAAGTTCTCCCACTTAAAAAGATGAGAGAGGCCTGTAATTGGCATCATAGGTAGACCTCAACTATGAGAGACAAAATGAGAAAAAAAATCCAGACAATCACATTAGCTGATTTGGAAAGAATTTATTTGCAAATTATGGTGGAAAATAAGTATTTGGTCACCTACAAACAAGCAAGATTTCTGGCTCTCACAGACCTGTACCTTCTTCTTTAAGAGGCTCCTCTGTCCTGCACTCATTACCTGTATCAATGGCACCTGTTTGAACTTGTTATCAGTATAAAAGACACCTGTCCACAACCTCAAACAGTCACACTCCAAACTCCACTATGGTGAAGACCAAAGAGCTGTCGAAGGACACCAGAAACTAAATTGTAGACCTGCACCAGGCTGGGATGACTGAATCTGGAATAGGCAAGCAGCTTGGTGTGAACAAATCAACTGTGGGAGCAATAATTAGAAAATGGAAGACATACAAGACCACTGATAATCTCCCTCGATCTGGGGCTCCACGCAAGATCTCACCCCGTGGGTCAAAATGATCACAAGAACGGTGAGCAAAAATCCCAGGACCACACGAAGGGACCTAGTGAATGACCTGCAGAGAACTGGGACCAACGTAACAAAGGCTACCATCAGTAACACACTACGCTGCCAGGGACTCAGATCCTGCAGTGCCAGACGTGTCCCCCTGCTTAAGCCAGTACATTTCCGGGCCCGTCTGAAGTTTGCTAGAGAGCATTTGGATGATCCAGAAGAGGATTGGGAGAATGTCTATGGTCAGATGAAACCAAAATAGAACTGTTTGGTAGAAACACAACTCGTCATGTTTGGAGGAGAGAGAATGCTGAGTTGCATCCAAAGAACACCAATACCTACTGTGAAGCATGGGGATGGAAACATCATGCTTTGGGGCTCTTTCTCCGCAAAGGGACCAGGACGACTGATCCATGTACAGGACAGAATGAATGGGGCCATGTATCGTGAGATTTTGAGTGCAAACCTCCTTCCATCAGCAATTGAAGATGAAACGTGGCTGGGTCTTCCAACATGACAATGATCCCAAACATACCACCCGGCAATGAAGGAGTGGCTTCGTAAGAAGCATTTCAAGGTCCTGGAGTGGCCTAGCCAGTCTCCAGATCTCAACCCCATAGAAAACCTTTGGAGGGAGTTGAAAGTCTGTGTTGCCCAGCAACAGCCCCAAAACATCACTGCTCTAGAGGATACCTGCATGGAGGAATGGGCCAACATACCAGCAACAGTGTGTGCCAACCTTGTGAAGACTTACAGGAAACGTTTGACCTCTGTCATCGCCAACAAAGGATATATAACAAAGTATTGAGATGAACTTTTGATATTGACCAAATACTTATTTTCCACCATAATTTGCAAATAAATTCTTTCCAAATCAGCTAATGTGATTGTCTGGATTTTTTTTTCTCATTTTGTCTCTCATAGTTGAGGTCTACCTATGATGCCAATTACAGGCCTCTCTCATCTTTTTAAGTGGGAGAACTTGCACAATTGGTGGCTGATTAAATACTTTTTTGCCCCACTGTAGTAATATGACAGACGCAAGGTGGTTCTCTCGTTCTGGGAGGATGCCATATGACGTCCTCCCATTGTCACCGCGCATGCGTGGCTCCGGGAGCGCACAGTGCGGTGACTGGCGGTGCGCTGTGTCCCTCGGACACAGCGGATCACCGATCCACGGAAAGAGCCGGAGATGTTGGCTCGGTCATGTGATCAGCTGTGTCCAATCACAGCTGTACACATGTAAACAGGGAAATGCCGGTTATCGGCATTTCTCTCCTCATGAGCTGTCACGCTGACAGCTCGTGAGGAGAGCCGGTAATCGGCATTCCTCGGAGGGGACAAAACACAGATCTTCAGAGCACTGATGATCAGTGTGCCCTGATGATCTGTGTAGCCCCAGCAGCGCCACCTGTCAGTGTCCATCAGTGCCAGCTCTCAGTGCTCATCCATGCCACCTGCCAGTGCCCATCAGTTCCACATCTATGCCACATATCAGTGCCCATCTGAGCTGCCTTTCTGTGTCACCCATCAGTGCCAGTCAGTGCCACCTATCAGTGCTGCCAATCAGTGCCACCTATCAGTGCCCGTCAGTGCTGCCTATCAGTGCCCGTCAGTGCTGCCTATCAATGCCAGTCAGTGCTGCCTATCAGTGCCATATATCAGTGATGCCTTTCAGTGCCCATCAGTGATGCCTGTCAATGCCCATCAGTGCCACCTACCAGTGCCTCCTCATCAGTGCCCATCAGTGCCACCTATCAGAGTCCATCAGTGCAGCCTATCAGTGCCCATCACTGCAGCCTCATTAGCGCACATCAGTGAAGGAGAAAAATCACTAATGTACAAAATTTTATAACAAAAACTAAGAAAAAACATTTTTTTTTTTCAAATTTTTCTGTGGTTTTTGGTTTAAGAAAAATTAAAAAACCCAGAGGTTAATAAATACCGCCAAAATAAAGGTCTGTCACAAAAAAATTATAAAAATGTCATATGAGTACAGTGTTGCATGACCGCGCAATTGTCATTCAAAGTGCAACAGCGCTGAAAGCTGGAAATTGGCCTGGGCAGGAAGGGGGTATAAGTGCCCTGTAGGCTAGTGGTTAAACACATCTAACTGATCAAACAAGCAAAAGACCGAAATTCACCTAGCTAAAAAAAAAAACAAAAAAATAACAACCCTGCTACTACAATACAGGCATGGCCATGTCAGGCGCCAACTGGCGAATACTAGGGTAGCTATGGCAACCAGCGGTGGTATCCCTCCAACACATGGCAGATATATTCATTACTAGCCTCCTCACTGACCAATCATATCTCACGCCAGGCTGCTGCCATTGGGGTAGAGGGAGAGGCAGCCGCCTGCCCCGTGACGTCACGCCTAGCTCCAGTCACGTGCGTAGCTCCCGTGCGTACAACGTGTAGTTCCCGTTCTCCTAGTGGTGCAGGGAATGTATAGTGCGGGCAATACGAGCCCCAGCATTCCCTGCGACGGTGACGTCACTCAGTGTTGCTGTCGAGTAGGGGTCTGTATAGGGGGGTCTGGGGAGGAGGCCTGTTGTGTAGTAGGGTCGGGGTTCCCCCGGGGGATGTAGAGGAGGCTCTCCTTGTAGGCTCTGAACAGAACAGCGTTGCACTGAGCAGCTGCCATATAGAACAATAATCCTCTCTGGTTACTGAAATGTGAACTGTGAGTGGGCAGGAATGTATAATTCATCTTCCCTGTGATATGTGCACTCCTGTATTAGTGCTGTGTGCCTGTGTCCTGGTACCTCACCCCGACTGAGGAGACCATATCCTTTCTCCAGTGTTTAGCTCTGTCTGCAGGAGTGCGATGTGGGGGGATTCGTGTACAGCGCTCCATAGACTGCGCGTCCTAGACCAAACCTGGCCGATCGCTCACTGAGCGGAGCAGACCCGCAACAGCATGGCCCATCTGCGAGAATTTCCAGCACAGGTAATATATCTGCTTATTGTTACAGTCGTTTCATTTAAAAAATGTGTTTATTATTGGTCATACACAGCCAGCATGGTCATATTACTACACCTAGTCCTGGCTCAGACAAGCGCAAAGGCTGCTACATTCTAAACGTGGCCTCTGGACGTGGCAGCGACTGATTAGCTGTGGCCAGACATACCAGCCCTGGACTCACATTGCCTGCATCCAGGGCCAGTAAGAGCCTCTGATCACATGGAGCTGCTAGGATGAGTGGTTACCTGTAGGCGTGAGCAGACACAAGTCCTAACCCACCCGCCAGCATGCTGTCAAAGCCCACATCCAATCATATTCAGCGGAGACATTCCGTGTCCCACAGATGCACATGTATGCATAGAAACATTACTTAAGTCTATACATTAGAACAAGTCCAATTCCAAAAATGTCAGCAACAGGTGAATACAAAAATCTTTATTGCATAAAGTAAAAATATTCCATGGCAAACTTATGCTAATGCATTTCAGTCTAAAAGCAGACCTAATTCATGACTGTTTTTAGACTGAAACACATTAGTGTAAATTTGCCATGGAATATTTTTAGTCCTTTATGCCATAAAGAAGATTTTTGTATTCACCTGTTGCTGACATTTTTGGAATTGGACTTCTAAGCGGATGGAGACTGCTAGTCAGGCACAGTGAGCTAATGTGCTTTAAGCCTGATACATTTGACAGGTAGTAGCAGCCCACTTCTGTTTGGATTTATATGCTGAAACAATTTGAATTTGGGGCACACCTTAATGCAACAAAATCACTAAAATCTAGTTCACATACACTATATTGCCAAAAGTATTGGGATGCCTGCCTTTACACATACATGAATTTTAATGGCATCCCAGTCTTAGTTCATAGGGTTCAATATTGAGTTGGCCCACCCTTTGCATCTATAACAGCTAATGGTGCACCGAAATGAAAATTCAACCGAAAACTAAAATTCAAAATGCACTTCACCGAAACCGAAATGCGCAGTTTTAAATAATGAATATATATTTTTTGGAAAAAATACACTGATTAAAAAAACCAATATTAACCCCCATTTCTTTGTAAAATATGAAAGAGGATGTTACGGCGAGTAAATAGATCCCCAACATGTCACACTTTAAAATTGCGCATGCTCTTGGAATGGCGTGAAACTGCGGTACTTAAAAATCTCCATGAGTGATGCTTTAAAAATTCCTACAGGTTAGCAGTGTAACGTTACAGAGGAGGTCTAATGTGAGGATCATTGCTCTTGCTCTGACGTTCGTGGTGATACCTTACGTGTGTGGTTTGAACACCATTTATATATGTGGGCATGATCTACGTATGCGATCACCACTACAGGGGCACTTTAAACTTTTTTTTTTTTTTTTATTTATTTAACGTTGCTTTTTTTTTTTTTTTTTTTTTTTTGCACTGTCCCCTTAAAAAAATTTTTTAATCACTTTTATTCTTATCACAAGAAATGCATTCATCCCTTATGATAGAAATAATTAGTGACAGGTCCTCTTTATGGAGAGATATGGGGTCAATAGGACCCCACATCTCTCCTCTGCAATGTAAAGCATTAGATAAAAAAAAAGCATTGATCTAGTGCTTTAAGAGAAAAAAAAAATGACCAGAAGTGACATCACTTTGGTCCTCCAAGGGCATAGGTATGAGTGGAGGCCATGTTTCCTTCACTAATCTCTATCCCCAGCGCCGGGATCATTCAATGGTTTCTCAGGTAAGGCTGAGAACTACCGAGCGGCTGGTTTTTTTCAGCACCTGTATCAGTGCTTTTTTCATATCTGCCGATGGTCGAAAGGGGTGTTTTCGGCCGAAACGTTTCGGCGCTTCCCTAATAACAGCTTCAACTCTTCTGGGAAGGCTGTCCACAAGGTTTAGGAGTGTGTCTATGGGAATGTTTGACCATTCTTCCAGAAGAGCATTTGTGAGGTCGGGCACTGATGTCGGATGAGAAGGCCTGGCTTGCAGTCTCCACTAATTCATTCCAAAGGTGTTCTATCAGGTTGAGATCAGGACTCTGTGCAGGCCAGTCAAGTTCCTCCACACCAAACGCGCTCATCCATGTCTTTATAGACCTTGCTTTGTGCACTGGTGCGTAGTCATGTTGGATCTGGAAAGGGCCATCTCCAAACTGTCCCCACAATGTTCAGAGCATGAAATGTTCCAAAATGTCTTGGTGTGCTGACGCCTTAAGAGTTCCCTTCACTGGATCTAAGGGGCCAAGCCCAACCCCTGAAAAACAACCCTACACCACAATCCCCCCTCCAACAAATTTTACACTTACACCTTGAACCCTGCTCCTTTCCACTCTGCAACTGACCAACTCTATGACAGAATCTCTCCCCTGTCCTGCCCTGGCCACTGCTGTCTACAACAGTTCGCTTTCATCCACATTAGACTAACTTGCTCCTCTAACAACACGAAGCATCAGGCCCCGACCATTACAACCTTGGCAGACTGACGACGCCAGAAATCTTAAACGACATAGTCATGCGGTGGAGCGATTGTGGCGTAAAACCAAATTTCAACAATCTGACCGGTGGGATAATTCTGCTGGGATACTGATGGATGGTCACCTTGTCTACACTTATTGCCATGTCCGTCTCCCGACCCTCTTCCTTTGCTTTCCTCTCCTCCTTTAATATCTTTACATCTGGTGTCTCCCTTCCCCCTTTTTCTCTCCCCCCCCCCCCTTTTTTTTTTTTTTTCTCTTTTCTCTCTGCTCTTTTTCTAATTTTCTCTCTGTCTGAATGTATTCTCTTGGAATTATCACATTATTGTTGAATATCACCTATCTGGGGATGCCCCCTTTGTAGCTATGTTTGGATTCATCTTCCTTCCTCCCCATGGATCATACTGATATCTATGTTGTTAATTTTTTGCCCATTCCATTGTCGATATTCTTATTATTTTCTTGCTATGTACTGTTTAATTTGATACAAAATCTAATAAAGACAAATTTGCCTTCAAAGCTCAACAAGCATTCGCCCTATATAAATCTGCTTTCTTAACATGCAATTCCTCCCTTCATGCTGCCAAACAAGCCTACTTTGTCACTCTCATCAATAGCTTGTCATCCAGTCCTCGTCATCTTTTCTCTACTTTTAACTCTACTTTCTCCACCTCCACCCAGTACCTCACTCACTGCTCACGAGATTGCAAATCATTTCAAAAGCAAGATTGACGCAATTCGTAGGGGCATCGCCACTGCACACAGACATCCATCCCACTTACCATACCTTATACTAAACCTTCCTCTTTTGACCTTGCTACTACTGAAGAGGGCACTAAGGTTTTCTCAGAAGCCCGTCTTACTACCTACCCCCTGGATCCTATCCCCTCACAACTACTACAGTCACCCTTTTCTTCCATCCTATGCTCCCTCACTCACATCTATCCCTCTCTACCGGTGCCTTCCCCTCCCCTCTAAAGCATGCACACATCACTCCCTTACTTAAAAAGCCCTCCCTGGACCCCACCAACCTGAACAACTTAAGAACCATCTCCCTGCTGCCATTTACCTCTAGACTCCTAGAACGCTTAGTCTACAATCGCCTGAGCTCCCACCTCACCGACAACAACCTTCTTGACCCTTTATTGTCTGGCTTTTGCTCACTACACTCCACTGAAACTGTCCTACTAAAACTCATTAATGATCTACTAACTGCTAAAACCAATGGCCACTACTCCGTACTCTTACTACTTGACCTCTCAGTGGCTTTTGATACGGTTGACCATCCCCTTCTCCTCAAAAAACTCCACTCT